CTGCTCGCGTTGATTCACAATGAAACCTGCCCTGTGAAGTTTGTTGTTCTGCAAGACTGTTCGAGGGACATCATTCTTGGAATGGACTTCTTGTGTGAATACGGCGCCATCATCGACCTAGCGGAGAACAACTGACGCTTCGGAAGCCTGTCCCATCGGCGGAAAATCCCAAAGCGAAGTTAGCTGCAGTGCGAGTCCTTGCCAGCCACGTAAACCTGCCGCCGCTGTCGAGTGTCTTTGTGCCCGTCGGGACCGAAGAAGCCACCTGCGGTGTAGCACTGTTGGAAGGAAGCGTCCAACTTCTTGTTGGACGAGGGATTGGCATTGCAAGAGGCGTAACAGAGCTCCAGAATGGGAGTACCGTAGCCCTTGTCACCAACTTCCGGCAAATCAAATTTGGGGGTTTTATATGCCAAACCAATGATGGGCATCTGGCACACTCCAGCGGAGGACTGAGGATTAAGTTGGACCACCTGGGGGTCTTTTGACATGCAACCGAAAGCTTGGTTACACGGCGCCTTTTCCGCAATAAGCCTCCGTCAGATTGCGGGCACCTCTGCCGGTTTTCGAACCCGCCACATGGGGACCCGTAGGCCGGCGCTCTCGCCTCGGAGCCACCGAGGCGGCCGAACCAACTTCCGGCAAGAGTCGCAGCACCTTACCAAGGGTACAGCTGTGGGTTACGTCGAAGAAATTCGGGACCCAGCCGCGATCGCAGTGATGTCAGAAAACTCCTCTCCGACGCAGCACAAGAGAATCACGCCATCAGAGCTCGATATCGACCCGTCCCTCCCAGCCCCACAACGACGACAACTCAATGACCTTCTCGCCGAGTTCAGTGAGTGCTTCTCCACGTTGCGGAAGGTGTGCCAAACGACGTTTGCTAAACATTGAATAATTACTGATGACGACGCACTCCCTGTGCATCGACCGCCGTACAGGGTATCAATGAAAGAAAGGAAAGCCATCCAGAAACAAGTTCAGGAAATGCTCGATGACGACATCGTCCAGCCCTCAAACAGTCCGTGGGCTTCCCTAGTAGTCCTGGTGAAGAAGAAAGACGGAACCCTGAGGTTCTGCGTGGACTATCGTCGGCTGAACGCAGTAACAAAAAAGGACGTCTATCCGCTGCCCCGCATCGACGACACCCCGAATTGGCTGCGCCACGCCCAATACTTTTCGTCGATGGACTTGAAGAGCGGGTACTGGCAGATTGATGTCGACGACAAGATTGTGAGAAGACGGCCTTCGCCACGCCGGACGGACTGTATGAATTTAAAGTAATGCCGTTCGGGCTGTGCACAGCCGGCAACCTTCCAGCGCGTTATGGACACCATCCTTTCCGGCTTGAAATGGCAAAGCTGTCTCGTCTACCTCGATGACGTTGTGGTATTCGCAAGTGAATTCGACGAGCACCTGAGGCGACTGCGAGCCGTGCTACGAGCCTTCAAGGATACCGGACTGACACTCGAGCCTTCCAAGTGTCGGTTCACCTATGGTGAGCTGAAATTCTTGGGCCACGTCGTGAGTGCTCAGGGTGTAAGCCCTAATCCTGCAGACGTATGCTGTCACCGAATTCCCGAAGCCAGCAGACAAAAAGGCCGTTCGAAGATTCCTTGTGCTGTGCGTCTACTACAGACGTTTCGTTCGTGACTTTGAACAAATTTCTGCACTGCTGACGCATCTGACGAAGGACGACGTGCAGTTCTGGTGGGGAGAGGAGCAAGAACAAGCGTTCGACGAAGTCAAGCGAAGGCTCCAGTTGCCTCCTATCCTCGGGCATTTTGATCAGTCGGCGGACGCTGAAATCCACACGGACGCTAGCAATACCGGTCTCAGTGTGGTACTCGTTCAGAGACAAGAAAAGGCAGAGAGAGTAATCGCTTACGCAAGCCGGGCGCTGTCTAAGGCAGAACAAAATTATTCAACGACCGACAAAGAGTGTCTTGCTGTCGTCTGGGCGATAACCAAGTTCCGTCCGTACTTGTTTGGGATCCCGTTCCGCGTGGTCACAGACCACCACGCCCTCTGCTGGCCCGCAAACCTCAAGGATCCGTCAGGACGCCTCGCCCACTGGAGTCTTCGACTGCAAGAATTCAACGTAACCATTGTGCATAAGTCCGGTTGCAAGCATAATGACGCTGACTGTCTGTCCAGGGCTCCAGTCGAACCTCCCATTGCCGGCGCCGACGACGATGACGACGAATGTTTCCTAGGTGCCGTAGACACCAACGACATGGCAAAACTCCAACGAGACGATCCTGAGCTGCGCGCCCTGATTGAGCATCTAGAAGGACGAGGAAGTACCGTTCCTCGTGTCTTTTCACGAGCCCTGCTGACCTTCACTATTCGACGAGGTGTACTTTATAAGAATAATTTCGGAACCAGTAATTCGCCGTGGCTTCTGGTAGTCCCTACCAGCCTTCGAGAAGAGATTTTTCAAGCCCGTCACGACGACCCCACTTCAGGACACCTCGGTTACAGCTGGACACTAGCCCGAATAAGTGAAAAATACTACTGGCCCAAGCTTCCAGACCGTCCATCTCTACACACGATCGTGCCATGAATGCCAGCGACGCAAGAAACCGCCATCAAAGCCAGCAGGTCTCCTTCAGCCGATTACCCCGCCAACCAAGCCCTCCCAGCAAATTGGAATGGATTTGCTGGGTCCTTTTCCACCGTTGACGATGGGGAACCACTGGATAATCGTCGCAACAGATTATCTTACTCGTTACGCCGAGACGAAAGCCCTTCCATCAGGGACTGCTGTCGAAGTCGCCAAGTTCTTCATCGAATCCATCATCCTCTGGCATGGCGCCCCTGAAGTCCTGATCACAGACCGAGGGTCAATGTTCATGGCGCAGTTGACCAAGAGATCCTTCGTCTGAGCCACACGAACCACCGTGGGACAACCGCATGCCATCCCCAGACCAATGGGTTGACGGAGCGGCTCAATAAGACCATCGCTGACATGATCTCCATGTACATTGACATGGAGCACAAGACATGGGACGAGGCATTGCCGTACGTCACATTTGCCTACAATACGACCGTACAAGAGACCACAGGAGTGACGCCCTTCCAGCTGGTGTATGGCCGGAAGGTGACGACTACGCTAGACTATGTTGCCGCACGAGCCAGTCGACGACAGGAGCGATGACGCCCAGGTGGTCTCTCAACGGGCAGAAGAGGTCCGCCAGCTAGCGAGACTACGAATTCAAGACCAGCAGCATGTCGACGCCGGCCGATACAATCTTCGCCGGTGTGACGTCCACTTCAAGCCCGCAGACCGAGTATGGGTCTGGACTCCAATTTGGCAACGTGGGCTCAGCGAGAAGCTTCTCAAGCGCTACTTTGGACAATACAAGGTTCTTCGCCGTCTCGGGGACTTAATCTACGAGGTGCTTCTCGACGGAACTATACCATCAAGACGACGCCAACCCTGACCCGAAATAGTCCACGCCGTGCGCCTCAAGCCGTATTAAGAACGATAGAACTTTGGACTCTCGACAAACTGTGAACTGTGGCTCGCGACTGTGCTGTCCTTTTTGTTGTAAATTTGTGTTTTCGCTTTGTGCTGCATTGGGACGATGCACTTTTAAAGGGGGGGATAATGCCGCACGCAGTGCCGGGAAAGCAACGCTCGGTCACGGAGCTCTAGAACGTTCTCGTTTATTCTTGTTCCGGACGTAACTTCCATCCTTTATTCCTGCTCTATTGTTCTAGAAAGTGCGTGTTCATTCTCGCCCCGATTGCGCGACGCTCGAGCCTTCTTTGCCGGATCTTCAGAGATTGTGACGCACTCTAAATAAGAGGCCACCCGCAACCTTGTCGAGTCAGTTTCGCCTCAGCGTTCGATTCTGCTGTCTCGCCGACGTCGACGCCCGCGACGCTCTGTTGTTATCTTCTTCCTTTTGTTTCTGGGCACAAGTTCGTCTCATTAAACGTTTAGTTTGATTCAGTTTTCGTCGCCTCATCCCTTGTCATCCGTGACAATATTTAGTTACTCTCTCCGTGCCCGCTGGCTTGCCTGAACCCCGAGGGACGTGGTAACCGCAAAAAAGGTAGACGCTTAAATATGATTGCAGGGCCCATTTTAACTTCTCATGTAATACATCATTCAGATGTTCTTGAGAGTAATTAAACTTGAACATGCACAGCCTGCACCAATGCGGCCAGTAAAACTGGGGAGTACAGGTACCAGAATGCTTTGTGGCAGTGGTGGCGGATCCTGGTGAGGATTCTACACCCTTATAAAGTGATAACCAGTAACATCCTTCGAAGCGGTCTTTCACAAGAAACCCATCTCATGTCCATACTGCAAAGGCAGGGAGAAACAAACTATTGTGCTTTCTCATAATCACAATTATAATGATGCGACATTCTTGATAATTCATGAGATTAATTGCATGCCTTTCCTGAAGCAAGTAATTACCCAGCAAGTTAATGCAATAAATCTCTGAAGAACTAGGATTAGTCTAAATCAGCATCAGCCTTACAGCATTACTGTAACTTGAAATGAGAGAAACAATCTTGCGACCCGCGGGCATAGGTTCATTGACAAACTGGAGTCTTATTTGTTGCCTATGGCTCTCGAAGGCCTACTCCACTAAATTTCGCTTCCAGCCAAATTAAATTTCCAGTCAGTGTTTGGCTACGTAGCTATGTGCCAACATTGTTTTAACCGAATGCCTACCCCCAGATCAGCAAACGAAAACATCTCAATTTCCTCTTTCGGAACATTACAAAAACTGAGCTTTGCGATTTTTCCATCCCTTTGGAAAACACTAATGAAGCTAAAAGATGTTATAGTGACCAGCGAGAACAGCAGGGAGGTTGTCCCGAGCACCTTGGGTAACACTTGGGAGTGTTGTGCACCTTGAGCGTGCAGCTGTTCCCATCCCATCAGTGACTCTGCCAAATCGGCTCGGGGGGAAATGCATGATTGCAGTGTTATTGGCTCGTCAAAGGAGGCTCTGGTTGAAATCCAAGGAGCTCACCAGTGCAGCTAGACAAAGCTGGCAGCGAGGACTCCAGCCGAGGCGTGCACCCGGGAGGGGGTGCTTGGGCCAGCGTCAACCGTCCAGCGGGTGTCCCAGGTACACCATGGATACCTCCGTGTTGCCGTAGACGGCCGAGATTGCAGGGTACAGCTTCTTGTCCGGGAGCCCCCTGAAGGCCACCCCGAGGAACTGGTAGTTCCGCTCGAATGCCAGGGTGTTGTCCTCGCAGTCCAGTATCACCCGAATTCGCTCCCCAACCTATTTTAAGTAAGGGTGGTGGGTTCCGCCTTAGGTTTCGCGGGTTCGGCCCGCGACTGAAAGCAGCGAGAGCGGCTAAACGGTACCTGGTACTTGGGTGCGTTGTTGAGGAGCGGGTAGTTGCCCTGGCTGTCGCCGTCGTGCAGCAGGTGGTTGTCGACCAGGTTCCAGCCCCAGGACTCGGCGTTCGAGCCCAGGAGGGCGACGTAGCCCGGGCACTGGAGCGGGGCCTCCTTGGTGGCGATGCCCACGACGGCCACCGTGCCCAGCGGGCCTTCCCACCACACCTCCCAGCAGTGGCGGCCCGCGGCGAAGCCCAGCTTCCCCTTGGCCGCGTCCGTGCTCTGCGCCACGGGGTTGCGGTGCAGCGTGAAGCCGTTCGGCTTGATGTAGATGTTCCGCGAGCACTCGCGGGGGTCCCACGCATGGTACAAGGCGCGCAGCTTCGCCTTGCAACTGGGCACGCTCCAGAGCAGGTCCGACTTCAGTGCCTCTTCGGCCAGCTTGCGCACGCAGTGCATGCGCCACACGTCGTTGTTCTCGTCGTTCAGGAGCACGTACCAGCTCTTGCAGACGAGCGAGCAGCTCCGCGACGAGCTCAGGTCCAGGTACGAGAAGATGTGCTCCAAGACGTTGGGCGGCAGATTGGGCCATTTGCCGGCCGCCATGACGGGCGCTGCTGCCCCTCGTTCCGCTTTCGGACACGCAAGGGAGCCACTGTACGAGCGCCCGGTTACTGCCATAGACCCAATAGAGTTGATTTCTGAGTAAACTGGGCGCTCAGCAGCGCTTCTGTGGTCGGAGATGCTCGAGGTACTCATTACTGCAACGAATTGGCCAATTATTACTCTATCCGTAGATTGCAAAACTAAAGAACAAAAAAACAGAAAAAACATGTTGCTAAAATGGAGCGCTAACGTTTTAATTATGACTTTTGGATCCATATCACAAAAACAAAGATGGATGAATACGACTGAGCCTTTTGGATTGGGCGGTAGCTTGCGCCACCTAACCATTTTGTTTTACCGTTAAAGCTTAGAATATTTAAATGTGAAATCTGTATTCACTCCGCAGTGCAAGAAAGTGAGGCTGTGAAACCCCCTTGCCATCAGTGAATAAGAAAATACCTAGTTTTCTTTCGATTTCTGCCATCATTCACTTAATCTTTGCTTGGTAATCTCTACAGTCTTGAAATCCACTCTCTCTTCGCTGTCTCTAAAACCCAATGAATTTATTAAATCTATGTTTTCTTCGGTAGGCATAGGGTGCAGCCCTTTACAGTAGAGTATCAAGTGCTCAGCCGTCTCGTCCTCCTCTCCACAAGCAGTGCACACTGTATCCATTTCCTGGTACTTCACTCTGTATGTTCTGGTTCGTAGAACCCTTGTCCTCGCCTCAAACAGCAATGAGCTTCCCATAGAATTGTCATAAATGCTTTCTTTGGCAATAACTGTTTTGTTTAATCTATAGCTTTCCAGAGCCGCCTTTGTCTGCTCCCCCTAGCCACCGATCTCTTTCTGTGGCCTTAACTTTCTTCTTAACTGAGACTTGCTCTTCCGTATCTTCGCTATAGCCCAAAAACTTTCCTCTTAATTTCCTAGTGCGCTGTCTCCACTTTGTGTATACACTCCTCATGTATAAATAGCTAAAAACCTCTCGTGTCCATCGCTCCCCATCCATTTGCCTCAACCTATCTTCAAATTCTATCTTGCTCACCGCTTCCCTGCTCTAAAATGACGCCCATCCCATGTCTCCTTGTACTCCCTGGTTTGGCGTTTCGCAATGTGCCCCCAAAGCCAGTCTACCTACTCCGCGCTGTTTTATTTCTAGTCTCGCATGCACTTCGGATTTCATGCATAGCACTGCGTTTCCAAAAGTCAAGCCAGGCACCATGACCCCTTTCCAAATCTCTCTCACCACCTCATACCTGTTGTAATTCCAAAGTGCTCTATTTTTCATTACAGCTGCATTTCTGTTGCCCTTACCTATTATATACATTTCATGCTCTCTGAGATATTCTGCACCATCACATATCCATACTCCTAGATACTTGTATTTACTAGCTCTCTCAACTGTAATATTCTGTATCTTCAGCCTCTCAACTTCATCCTCGTTAAAAATCATGACTGCTGATATTTCGCTACTGAATTCTAAACCTAATTCCTCTCCTTCCCTACCACAGATGCTCACAGCGACATTTGAGCGAATCGTCGTTTTGCGCGTTAACTAGGGGTGTCGCGAACCGGCCGAGGTTCGAGGTCGACCAGGTTCGATGTTTTCGAACTTTTAGGCCTGCTTCAGACGGGGCAACTTTTCCAGCAATTTTGAGGTTGATGGCGGGTTGTTCCCTAACTTTTCCTAGTTCAACACGAATTGCTGAGATCGGGTCCGGCTCAAAAAATTGGGTTGTGTGTGTGTTTATACAGCCTAGAACTTGGTCTGCCTCACAGGGGCGACGAGTCTCCCAGCTGTAGATGAGAAATTTAGCCAGTGCTGTACAACCGCTAGCCTGGGGTCTTTAACGTGCATCACGCAGTAGTGATACACGACCGCACGCCGGTACGATGCTCATCCAGATCGAAACGGGCAGGGGTGGGGCTCGAACCCAGGATCCCTGGGTTCTTCAGCGCGAGCTTTCGCTCCACGTGCTCCGAGCGATTTGATGATACCGTGTATCATCAAACACGCGGTATCATCAAATCGTTGTTTTCTTCATCCTTCACGAAGTCTTGCTGTCATCTTTCAGAAGATAGCTTCAAATTGCAGCACATGAGGCTCGTCAGGGCAGGGTTTCTTGTCGACCTTCTCCGATCTGTAATGGAAAGGATGGTTCGCGGGCCTGATCGCCACTCACCAGCCACAAAAAAGAAAGCCCGATTCGCCGTCATTCCTTACGTACACAATTCAGCCCACCGGATAAAATCCATTGCCTCAAAGTTCGACACGAATGTTGTCTTCTCGTGCCGCATGCGTCTTAAACAACTCTGTCAACAAGTGAACAACAACCGGATTCCAATTGGCTGCACCGTCAAACACGAAAAGAAATTCATTCCATGCAAAGAGAAGAAAGTTTACTCCATCCCCTTGAGCTGCGGCCATCAATACATAGGACAGACCGGCAGATGCACCAATCACAGACTCCGCGAACATCACAACGAAGTTTCTAAGGCCTCTCCAGAATCTTATCATTCCATAGTCATACATGTCCGTTCGTGTTTGCGTTGTCATCCCCTCTTTGATGACACAAAAATCCTGGGGGGGGGGGGGGGGGGGGGGGGGCATGCCAGCAGATTCGGCAGGGAAATCATAGAATCATTCGCGATGACCACAGCAAAAAACAACGTGTCTAACCCTTCCCTCCTGCTGACGAAAACTGAGGTTGAATTTTTAAAATCCGAGATAACCCTACCACCCTGACTTGCACTTCGCGTTTCTTATCTTTCCTTCTCTCCCCCTTCTCTCCCCTACTCCTACTGGGTATAGTCGGCTGCTCGCTGTTTGAAAGTTTACTCGTCTGTTGCTAGTTGATAGATGTTGTTGTGTTGTCCCTGTTTTAATTGTTTTATTCTTTCTTCATCCACAACATTTCTGCCGAATGCGCGTCCTTTTTTAAAAAAATACGGTCATCTGTTCGAGATAGCGCTGTATAGAGTGATGTTTTGGTGTTTGTAGCATCCCGTTGCATGTTTTTGCCACGTATTTTGGGGAATCCAGATTTCGGTTCAGCATCCCTTTAAGGTGCAACCCCACCCTTGGTTAGTGTGATTCTGAACCAACAGATGGCGGTGGGATCGCCTTCAGGCCGATCCAAAGGGCTGAGCCCTTTGAATCGGGCGTAAGCTACCGCCCGATCCAAAGGGTTCAGCCGGATTCATCCATCCATCCATCCATGCCTGTACATCAATCCGAGAAATCGTCTGTGGTGGCGCTTCGATACAGTGGGGTATTTTTCCATATCCCGAATTCGGCATCCCTGGTCCCTTGCTTGTTTTTCTCTGCACAAGCTTTCTTTGGAACGCGCACGGCTGCGCCAGTTCTCGTGCAAGGGGGCGAGTTGCCTACGCTCCGAGCTCACGTCTCTAGCAAATGGGGGCAGAACAAAACGCGAAAATCGTCCTGAGCCAAATGGCGAGACACACGCACAACCAAACCACCGACGCGTTGAAACATATAAAATTGCCTGTGCGCCGTTATCGGAGATTTCAGAGGCCAATTACCCATATTTCAATATGATCAGATTTATGTTGACACGAATGAAGGTGACGAGAGGACGAATAGTGAACTGAAAAATAAAGGTTTAATCGGCGAACTTGTGCAAAACAAAAAGAGTAAGGAAAGAGCGTCGAAGCAGCAGAAAAGCAGGCGGCGATTCCGCAGCGTAACAGAGAGCGAGAGTGAGAGTGACTTGACAAGGTCGCTGGCAGCTACTTATCTGCAGTGCGTCACCATCTCGAAAGTTCGACAAAGAAGGTTCGAGCGTCGCGCGCTCGGGGCGAGGATGAACTGGCACTTTCGAGAACGAGAAAACAGGGCGAAGGTTACGCCTGGTTAAAGAATGAACGCAAATCTTCTAAAAGTCTGTGACTGAGCGTTGCTTTCTCGCCTCGGCGGGCGGCAATATGACGGGCCGGCGCTTTTGTCGTGCATGTGCTTGGCTCTTTGTGGATTTCCAAGAAAACGAGATGACGGAATAGCTTGAGAAATTAACTACCTAAAAATATTTTTCAGGTGGTCAGGTGTCTCATTTAGGCAGCTGGGTGTTTATTTTGACCAAAACCACGAGCCTGGAAAACACAAAAAATGGCACTCAGGTTTAGATGTTGAGTTTGGTGAACCCAAAGTAGGGCTGATGCGGGAGTCATAATAAAAAAATGCCGAGGTTAAAAATTAGCTCACAGCAATAAAATATAGTAATTAATTTTGATACGAATTCAGTGATAAATGCAATGACTGGCCAGGCAAAGATTCTTGGTCTGTGGACAGCTTTTCCACAGTTTAAGCAATGTACAGGATGTCACACAAAAAAATATTACAGGGTCTTTTTTTTACCGCAAGAATAAACTAGGCATTGCCGAACGCTCATTTTCCGCCTAAAGGCAGCGCTATAGATCACAACCAGATGTCAAAGTTTAGCTCAATCCGATACCTTATTCAAGAGTTATGAGTGATTCTCTGAAAAGTTCATTGGGAAAATGGCGGCCGACGGAGTTTTCGAATACATGGGGCTCTATGGGCACCAGAAACCGAAAACGTGCAGAAATGGGCTTCATTTTCCCATTGAAATTTTCAGAAAATCACTTATAACTTTTGAATAAGGTGTCCGTTAGGGATGAAACTTTGGCATCTGGTTGTAACCTAGCTCTACCTATTGGCAGAAAGTGAGCGTTAAACGATGCGTAGTTTATTTTTGCGGTAAAAAAAAGACCTGTAAATTTTTTTTTGTGACATCCTGTGCCAGTCTTAATTTGGTGATTTATGCGCGCAAGTAGTGGTGTGCAAAAATGAACAAAAAGATTCAAACGAGTAGAGTTTGACATTGTATAAAATATAGTGTAAGCACTCATATGGAACTTAAAAATGAAACAGCCCTACATTTTACACCAGCGTTGAGCGTATCGAAAGTTAAAAGGGTGCATCAAAGGCTATAGCTTGCACACATATACTGCTCAGGCCGTTATGTTTGAATTCTCATGGTACTTTATTACCCTCAGATTTG